TCAATTGACGCATGCTGATGATTTCAGAATACGTCAGCAGCTAGGACCATGGTTTTCCACTATGAGAAGGGGCTAATAAAAAAATGATAGGAAAAACAACAACAACACTTCCTCTGCCTTTTCAAGCAGTAATTTAACCCCCCAAGCTTGAAATCAAGATTAAAAAGTTCCAAATTGATAAATATAGAAATGACTAAACCATCAAAACTGCTGAAGTCGTAAACAAAATTCGTCAACAGCCACTAAGAATTCATTAAAAGCAAATTTATTGTTTGTTTAAAAAAAACAAAAACTGTGCAATATGTGCTGCTCAAGACATTTTTGAGTCTGGTTTGGTGTTCATCTCTTCTCAGGCTTCAGTATGGCAAGGCTAAATGAGAAACATGGTACAGACACACAGTTAGTAAAAACAAGGAAGGACAGCAACAATCATTTGTGTTTGCTATTCTCTCAAAAGCCTTGTCATATGCTAAGCTGTGTAATTCAAAACTACAAACATTAAGTTCTAAAATCTAATCGCGTTCATTGTGTTCTGAGAACTATCATATGCTAAAAAGGAAAAGATGGTAGTATATCTGGTTTCAACCAAACAAGGTTTCAAACTAAATTATGTATTTCCTCTTGCAGAACTGAATAAAACAACGCTGCAGGGACCCAGGTTATCATTTTAAATGTAACTGGAGAATTCAATTCTAATGGGAATACTGCAACATTACTTTTGTTTCAGCTTTCCACAAAGATAGGCTCTTACTTATCATATATGGACAATAAGGTCACCCATCTAAGAAGCTTAACTTGCAGAGGACATAGAGTTCTGACATTCAGATGATAACAGTTTCAATTTGTAGGCAAAGTGATATCAAATTACACCTACTTCACTGAAAAAAAGGGGAGATGTACTTTTACATTCTTAATATCTGAAAATATTTTCCTAAACGCAGGATTTTGTTGTCTTGTTGGTTATTTCAATCTGGAGATAGAAACTGAGGGCGAAAACATGTTGCTTAATAATGTTGCCTTCTTTTAAAACAGAGCACATTTTAAACATTCAACAATAGATCCCCCTCCGCCCAAGTTCCCTATGCTTAGTTCCTGCCTTAGGGACAACTTTATATAATTGCAGAGTTCTCAGAAAGATTTTACAGTATTAAATCTCAACAGCCAATTGTCAGAGAATCAAACATACACAAAGATTTAAAATTTCAGACCCACCCTCTGCTGTGTTTTGAGCACAGAATGATTTCATTAACAAGTCATGTTTACCTGTTTTGCAAGCATACTCAGGTTCCTTAGATACAAAGTCATTTTAATTAGGGCAATAGGAGTTCCTTATATGCTAAAGAAGATGTAGTATGTACAAGGAGAAATTAATACAAACACGAAACACTTTCCATTTGTTATTTGATTTCTTATAGATTTAAACTTGTGATTTAAAACTTGCATTAAGGCAGCTTTTGCACTTCATATACTCCATAATTTACAAACAGAGGAGTGATCCATATGACTCACAACATTCTTTCCTAGAGCTGTTTATCAATAATTAAATCATTTTTGTGACTACCATTCAATGCGTGAAATAGAAAACCATGTTGTCTGTATACGCCAATGAATACAAAGCCCTACTCAACGCACCATCATTTCCTCTGGTACGGGTTTTTGAACTTGGTCGAGCTATCTGGCGCTCATCAAATTTAACCAAAAATAACAGACAACCTATAGGCGGGGTGAGGAGAGGGAGAAGGGAGGGAAGAGCTGGAGAGCCTGTTTTTGAAGGAAAACATATTACTTTCTCAAGCAGACGAAGAAGAGGAAGCCCAAATGCTGCTGCATTTACCTAGAAAGACTCCCAATAGCTAATATTCCTTATCCTATTATTTTTGTTATCTGAACCACAAAAAAGAAGCAACAACATAACAACACACATACACACAACCTGCTCTGTTCTTCTTGCCTGCATTTAGCAACCACCAAAACCCCTTACAAACAATACCAAGAAATGTATACATATACATGTTCTGATTAAGCTATTTAAAAGTAACACTGCTAATGAACTCACATCCTGGTCTCCTAAAAAGAACCAAGAGAAAGGAAGATGCTAATTTTTAAATCACTATATCCCCTATGTTGTTTATAAATAAATGAATCTATATTCGTCTCAAAAAATCAGTTCCAGTAGGTATGAAATGTAGTTAAAAAATGTTTTTAAAAATCCAGCAACGCTTTCACTTCTCAAGTACTAATGACATATAATGATGTGAAGGAAGGATTAATTCAATAAAACAAAACACTTTGTTTAATAAAAAATAATTTTAACAAAGCTTCCAAAAAACAAAAAAGACCCCAAACCCGTTGCAGTCGAGTCGATTCCAACTCAGAGCGACACCGTAGGACCGAGCAGAACTGCCCTGCAGAATTTCCAAGGAGCGCCTGCTGGATTTGAACTGCTGCCTTTTTGGTTAGCAGACGTAGCTCTTAACCACTACACCACCAGGGTTTCCTAACAAAGCTTACTTTATGTTTAATAGGTCATTTTCAACTCGTTTTCAAGGAGCAGTGTTTGGAGAGCATGAAGACTTTGGAATGTGTTTATTAACCACCTGCTCTCCTGGGAGAATAAACTGTGTTTGGTGGAACTCATAGTTTCACATGGTGTAAATACGCCCACCAAGGCTGCTTTCAGTATAATGTCACTGAACACAGAGGTGGAAAGCAACACTCAGTAGCACACCGCTATGTAGCATATGCACCATGCAAATGTAAGAGGTGCAAATAACCTCAAGCAGATACAATAGTAAAGTAAATAGGAAGTGATGAGTGGTCAGCATTAGCTACCTTCGATTTTACTGTAACTTATTCAGTTCTTAATAATGGCTTGTGTTTAACCTTACCAGTTTACAAAATTTCTCAAAAGTTAACAATCAGCTCTCAGAAGCCAATGTAGGCCAGCTGCAACAAACCAATTTTTCCATATATCCGGAAAAGCATGGCCATCTGTGACTTTTTTTTTTTTTTAAATATAACAGCCATTCTTAAACACTGGGAGAAAATTATCCTACTTTTTAAAAGGAAACTTTCAACCACCACACCTGAACATAGTAGTTGATTTTCAAGAATATGCAGACCCTTACAAATGGGCTGACCTCTTTATCACAAAGCTGGCTTTCACTACAGGCTATAGGTGGAGGCCATAGATACAGATCTGGAGAAAAGACCATGTGGTGTTTTATAGAACTTTTAGCAAAAAAGGGGTTGTGGTGTATTGCTTTTAGGGTTGTTTTGAAACAGTATAAAGTTCCTCCACTGGCCCATGTAGAAAACTCTACCGTAAGTCATCCATTCTTTTGGAATCGCAAGTCACAAAAAAAGGGTAATTTATAATTAATGCAATCCTAAAATGCTAGAACTTTGTTCATTTTATTATTCCATGACAAGAACAGAGTACTGGATCGATCATATAAATGCTGGCAGATGAATGAAAACTAACAAACAAGCCTTTAGCTTTCAGTAAGACTCCAGGAGAGCCACTGGAAATGAGACTCTTCTAAACATCGGAGGTGTAAATCTCAAGGGAAGTTTTCCTTCCACCTCTTATTCTCTAATTTAAAGAAGACAGTAGTACAAAATTCCTTAAATTTTAATTGATGGGCAGCAGACTTATTTCTGCGCTTTATGTAAGTGCCACTTTATAAGCTGTCAGTTTGCATCTAGAGAATGAAAAGCCCTTGGCTAACACGGAAACTGAAATAAAGTGGCAGTTAGAGCAGTTTCATCCCCTAAGTGTTCTTGGACATGGAATATAATGAAGAAAGATGATCTGACTGAAAATGCATTCAGAAGAAGCAGTATATAAACAAGACAAATGCTAATGAAAAACTACAAAAATACCAGTGTTCTGAAGCATTAGAAACAGGAACCCAATCCTATTTAAAGATAATGCTACTCATAGGCCAGGCTTTGGGTTATCGGCCTCTATAGTTAACTTCTTACATGCACTTTACTTAATCAGACATCTACAGAACATATCTGTTGTGTTAAGGAGCCTGCAGGCTATGTCATGATTCTTCCACTTTCCAGACTTGACTTATCTATAATTCCTTGAGTTACTGAGGTCAACCTTAGGATTATAAATCAAAACATTCTGTGTAAATAAAAACTCTTGTTCACATTTTACAATTAAAAAAAAAAGTTGAAGGGATTCATAATGGAGGATAAATACTTTTTGAAGAGTCAAGTGGCTGTGCTGTATGTTTTCAATTTCGAGCCATCATCTTGATATGTTTAGGGGTTTAATTTATGGAACAATCAAGCAAGTTTTATATTTAACATTAAATGCCTGAATATTATAAATCACCTTCTATGAACATTTACGGGACAGTTTCAGTGCAACTTCTGAACAACTTGTCATTTTTATTGTTTAGCAAAGATTTGTAAAAAATGATATGCTAAGTAACCCTAGAGTATAATTTAGGGACACAAAAACAACTGTCAAGAAACAGCCAAAGACTACGCTTAATGAAATCTTTACAGGCTGAAGTAATAAGTATTAAATTAATCAACACAGCTTAATTGAAGCTCTATTTGTAACATTTTTTATTCAACTTGTTATTAATGAACCTTTAAATGCTACCACTAACTTGAGTTCTTTGTTACATTTAAATAATGAACCATTGTTCAAACACAAAAAAGAACAAACAGTGCTTTAATAGCCCTTTGTCTCCATGGGACTTTTACGCATAGCTAAGACAGAGACATGTCTCTCCTTCCGCTTGCCAACTTGTTTACATGGTTGGCAAGATATCATCTTTAAGGCTGTTAAAATGGTCTGAGATAACTAAGGTGAAATCCTTAAGAAGTAAAAATACAGTAGCTAAGGCTGGGAAATATGCAAGAATTTTGGTTGACCTCAAACACGATGTCTTCAAATCTATGCTTTTAATACCTCTTCTGAACCTCTCACTCATATGCTCAGGTTGTTCTGGTTGGGATTGGTAAGTACTTACCTGAACATGTCTCCCAAGCCCTTCAGCATTCCCTTCTTGGCTTTAATTTTATCCTTTTCTTTGTCTCTATCTTTCTTCTTCTCTTTTGCAGTTTTATCCTTTCTTCTGTCAGTCTTATCACCTTTCTCTTGGTTTCCATTAATTTGTCTCTCCAGGGAGTGGGAAGGCTGGTCACTGGCTGTGGATACAGACTCTCTCCCAGATCTTGAACTTTCTTCTGTGTCTTCTTCCACTTGGAAAGTTAAAAAGGAAAAAAAAAAAAAGGAGGTAAATACAGTGAACTACAGCATCAAAAACAAGGAGGCTAAAATATATGTATGGATTTTACTTTCCCATATTTCCCTGATCGAACTCTCTACTGCAGTCTGGACCTCCATTAACATGTATTACACTGCTGTTGACTTTGGTGGAGTTAGAACTAGAGATGTGATGGGGTGACTGCCATGCATAAATGGCTTCACTTGAAGATGAAGTATCAACAGCAAGAAAGCAGCAGCTCCCTGGATAGACACAGATTTACTCACCAGAGTACCCTCTGCACTACAAAGGGTTTACTGCTAGGAGGGCCAGCAGAACCTCACTGCACCGAGCAGACCTTTAGAGTCCTGTCTACTGTGTTTGCAAAATGAGAAGAAAGAAAACAAGCATCCCTTCCCAAAGCACTTCTTTCTTCCTGGGTAGAGATAAAATGGGTCCACTCTGGTCTCTCTTTATTTTGGTAACTGTGCCATTCACTAATAACTATACCAATGTCCACATAGGGACATCTTTCCTTGTACTCCCAAATATGCCATTTGTGCTTTCTGCACACCAAAGACTGATTTTATTTTTTTTTGGTGGCGGGGGGCGGGGGTGCTGACAGCTATAACAGTTCTTCACAATCTTTGTAACTTCTTTATATTGTTCTTACATAATGCCAACATCATAAGTAAATATTATTATATATTCTAATCCTAAATACTTTTACATGTCTGTCTGTCTACACAATGGCAGCTAAACAGGTTAATGGAGTTGTGGAAATGAGCAAATTAACAACCTCACTTCTCTGAACTTTGCAGATAAAAGATCTTAGTGATAACAATGTTCCATCATTTGAACCAACACTTAGTTAATACACAATCCAAGGGTCTTCAATACCCCGAACTTTTGGCATCTGAAAGAATAACAAGTAACTAAAGTAGGCTACTATCTATCGAAAGAACTTTACGAATTCCTATAGGTATTAAGTAAGAAGTATAAATGCACATAACAACCGCAATTCTCGGAAATCATTTCTGAGATTGGTTATCTAAAGTTGTCTTCCAAATACAGTAAGACTTATTGAGGCTTCAGGTTAGCCTTTGAATTGTGAAGTCACTTTTTTCCCAGCATCTACAATTTAAGTATTAATCAGGGTTTCTGAGCTGCTTCTAAACCAGAATCAGGCCTCCTCCCAATCTTTCACAAGAACCAAACTTTCAACCAAGATAATATATCTTCAAGAGAAATTCTGTCTTGTCTTTCCACCAGAAAGGAGCCGCTCACATTAGCAATACACAATAGCAAAGTGTCTAATAAAGCCCATGAAAACAATTCTGACATCTTAGTTTTCTGTTATAAAACCCTACAATTCTGAGAAGACACTATTAAATAAAGGCATGGTAGTGGTCAAGTAATACAGTTTTTAAAATGCCAGCTATTTAGCACCATACAAAAAAAAGCCTATAGAATTTTTTTTTTCTTGACACGTTTGGTTAAAAACATGATCCAGAACATTTCCCATCCCAGTAAGTCATGCCCTAGGTATAGCCAAGAAGTAAAAATGTCACAACAGCTAACTCTGGAAGGTCCCTTGCAGATTATTTAGTCCAACTTCTTCCATTTTACGCTGAGGACACAGAAGCTCAGAAGGACTTTTGGACCAGCACACTCCAGTCTGGTGCTCCTTCTACTATTATATTATTGCATAGCTGAACTTCAGCAAGACCTTCATGCCTTTCTTTGATCAATTCTGTTTGTGACTTCTCAATTCCACACTTCATACAGCATGTATTTGGGTAATCTATCGTCCAGTCACTACATAATCTACCCAGAAGATAATTCCAGCAGTCAGCACAGCATTTCAGAAACCTATTGTCAATCCTGTGTGGTGAGTTAACGCCGTGACTTGTGGCTCATATTGAAGAAATCACTTAAAAACCTAGGTCCAATGTGCGCAGTGACTCTAGGACTGGCTTTGCTGTTGTCCTTGTTAGCTGCCTTCAAGTTGCCTGACTCATGGCAACCTCATGCATAACGGTATCAGATCTTTGTGATCCACAGGCTTTTCATTGGCTGATTTTTCACAAGTAGATCACCAGACCTTTCTTCCTACTCTGTTTCAGTCTGGAAACTCTGTTGAAACCTGTTCAGTCTAGCAACCATATAAATTGCCTTCCAGTATATTAGGAGCCTTGGTGGCGCGGTGGTTAAGAGCTACGGCTGCAGACCAAAAGGATGGCAGTTTGAATCCATCAGCTGCTCCTTGGAAAAACCTATGAGGCAGTTCTACTCTGTCCTACAGGGTTGCTATGAGTCGGAATTGACTCAACAGCAACAGGTTTGGTTTTGTGTGTGTGTGTGTGTATTGGGTCATCTAATTGTGAGCCATCCCTTCTTCAAAGGATATGGCAGCTTTAAAAAAAATGGCCTCTTTTCCTATCAATTAATATACAAACAGGAATTGTGCTTGTTTGGTGGAAGAAGCCACTTACAACTTCCAGATAGGCATTGATACTGAAAATCCATAGCTTTACAAATAAGTGCTGAGTTAGTCTATAATTTTTTTGTGGTATAGACAGAGCAAGGAAAGAATACCCTGGCCAACTGGTCCAAGGGTTTACAAACTATGTCTATGTAGCCTTTTGAAATGACAGCCCCCCAAGTGAATGTAAACACAGCTTAAGCAGGGCTACAACATCTTGAACACGGCTGTGTTCTATCTGATTGCAAGCCACTGCTTCAACCCTTTGGGAAATGGGTGTGGCTTCAACTTTGAGATGATCAACCAAATCAGTATAAAGCAATTCTCAAAAAGCTCTTGAGAGCTGCAAAACCTAGGTCTACTGGTATACTACAGCTAGACAAAGAGATGCTAGTAAATTTTTTACAATTCCCACATGGAAAGCTGCTTTTACCTATACTTCCACACCTCTATGTACAATCTTTCATCATTGCACTTCTCAGATGACATGATTGTGTGTCTGTCTCCCCAGACTCTGCGCACCTAAAATAAGGACTTACCACACTGCCAGGTAAGAGCTGCTCATCAATGGCTGTTTAAATGAAAGATTGCTGGTCAGACTTGACTCACTGCTTTATCCCAACACAACAAACTGTCATCCAATCTCCGTTGTTAGGTGCCGCAGAGTCAGTTCTGACTCATAGTAACCCTACATACAACAGAACAAAATACTGCCTGGTCCTGCACTGTCCATCCAATCTCTAGGTACCACCATTCTTCTAGATTCAGAATGATGTCTACTCTCCACTAATAAAGCTTGACAACACTAGCCACAATTCACTACTGTAACACCAGGAAAGCTCAGTGTACTTGGTTTAGCTCTAATCAGCTGCTAGTATATTTTTATGCTATTATTGTTAGTGATACGTATCATCTAATGGATTTTATAACCCTCTACATAGTCGGAAACTATAAACAAAAAACGAGCTCAATAAATGTAAATGACTTAGTCTTTCACAGCCTCCATTACCATAAATCATGAATGGAAGCAGCAGTAGCAATTCTGCTAGTTTTCTGCCTGATAGTTTTGGCAGAAGTACAAGGGGCATATGTCTGCTCTTGGCTTAGAAACAGTATAAAGGCAATGCCTTCACAACTAACTGTACACTGAAGTTGGATTTGTTGCCAATTCTTTTCATATTCATAATCAGTTTCTGGTGTACATAATACAACTTATTTTCTAAATTGGGTGAAACAGAAAAAGTTAGTATTAAATCCTTTATTAACTTTGGGTTTTGTAACCTCATTTTATGAAATCAAAACGACAAGCTCAGTTTCCTGCTCCAAGCAAGTGGACTGTTTAAAATGATACTTGCACATCTGAGAATTCTTCATGTTTATTTTGAACAATCTAATTTAGATAATACATTATCACAGGAAATCTTCTGGGGTGTACTGATTTAACTAATCCCTTTGAATGCCAGCTAATTAAAAATATTTAGCAATATGTGGCTTCCTATGTACAAATATAAGATGTTCTTTTAGAGTATCACATTATATATGTCTCAGACTCTAAAATTATTTGATAGACAAAAATAGGAATCTCTCACTTTCCCCTTAGCTACACAGAAATACTGTGATTTTTAAAAGCTTAAATAAATTGGTCACGTGTAATTTTAAAAACATATATTCAAGGTTACTCATAAACTAGTCAAAAAAATTTTTTTTTAAGTTTTAAGACCAGACTTTGGACATTTAATACTAGCTTTATAATAAAGTACATAAAATATTTTTACTTCCTTAAACTAAGAAAATACAGAAACAATATTCATGTAAATTATTTTTCAAGGAAGAAAGTATTCGTTAATGTACCAGGAGTAAATGACTTGATGTATTATGTTCATACAGCAAATTACAATATAAACTAATTGCAAAACAATCACATTGAGGTAGTTTACTATTTAAAATGTTATATAAATTTTGGCTTTTTTCTCTTTAATTTTGCTCATCTTTACAGACTGTTTACTTTCCTTCTGCAGATAGCCTACACAAAGAAAGGTGATTACCTCCTTCCAAACAAATAGAAATGCCTATTTTTGACTAGCATTTCTACTTGTTTTAACCTGCTCCGTGGTCTGAACTATCAACTTCCTTCCCATGTGATTACCAATAAAGAGATACTTTCAAGTTTCTTTTTTTAAAAGAAGGTATAGCGTGAAGCTGCTTATTTCTCTTTAATGCAGCACAGTCATTCTGCAATTAAGATATACCTAATTACCGTGTTTTCAACAGATGCAAATGTAGCTCCATTAAAATTCTAGTCCATGTTACAAATTAAGCTACTCAGTTCCACAAGGTATCATGTTAAGACTGGGTCACCAAGAACTTTAGAAAAGATCGGACACTTACGTGTTAGGGATTATGCAGAATATGGCTTTAGGTTTCAAGTGAAGTTCGAAGTTCTTTAGCTTCTGCCATAAATAAATACTTCTATCTAGTCATCACAAATATTTTACTGTCAAAAGTTGACT